ATGATAGAGGACCTCAAAGAGGACATGAGAAAATCCCTTAAAGAAATTGAAGAAAAAACAAACCAAACAATACAAGATATCAACAAATCTCTCGAGGAAACAGTTCAAGACCTAAAAATTGAAATAGAGACTATAAAGAAAGGACAATCTGAGGGAATGCTGGAAACAGAAAAGCTGGGTAAATGATCAGGAACTACAGACACAAGCATAACCAACAGAATATAAGAGATGGAAGAGAGAATCTCAGGCGTTGAAGATACATTAGGAGAAATAGATTCATCGACCAAAGAAAATCTTAAGTCCAAAAAATCCCTAACACAAAATATCGAGGAAATATGGGATACTGTGAAAAAGCCAAACCTAATAATTACAGGTATAGAAGAAGGTGAAGAAACCCAACTCAAAGGTGCAGAAAACATATTCAACAAAATCATAGAAGACAACTTTCCCAACCTAAAGAAAGACATGCCAATAAAAGTATAAGAAGCCTACAGAACATCAAATAGAGTGAACCACAAAAAGTCCCTTCATCACATAATAATTAAACACCAAACATACAAAAGAGAAAATATTAAGAGCAGCAAAGGTCACACCTGACTTTTCCATGGAAACTCTGAAAGCCAGAAGGTCCTGGATAGATATTCTACCTACTCTAAGAGACCATGAACTACTATACTCAGCAAAGCTTTCAATCAATACAGATGGAAAAAACAAGATATTCCATGACAAAACTAGATTCAAACAATACATATTCACAAATCCAGCCCTACAGAAAGTTCTGGAAGGAAAACTACAACCCAAGGAAGTTAACTACAATCAGAAAAATATAGGCAATAGATAATACCACTTTACCAACACCCAAAAGGAAAAAGGGATAGAATCCCACACATAATTTCCCCAACATCACCAAATCAAAAACAAACAAGAATGAACAATCAATGGTCATTAATATCCCTCAGCATTAATGGTCTTAACTCGCCTATAAAAAGACACAGGATAGCATAATGGATAAGAAGACAGCATCCATCCTTCTTCTGCATACAAGAAACCTCAATTTCAAAGACAGACAGTACCTAAGAATTAAAAGTTGGGAAAAGATTTTTTTCCATCAAATGGAACCAATAAAAAAGTGGGGTTAGCAATCCTAATATCCAACAAATTGGACTTTAAACTAAAATCAATCAAAAGAGATGAAGGAGGTCACTTCCTACTCATCACAGGAGAAATCCATCAAGAGGAAGTTTCAGTTCTGAACATTTATGCCCCAAATACAAAGGTATCCACATTTGTAAAAGAAACATTGCTAAGACTCAAATCACACATAAAATCGCACACACTTATAGTGGGAGACTTCAACACCCCACTCTCACCACTGGACAGGAACACCAGACAGAATCTTAACAAAGAAACAAAGGAACTAATAGAAGTTATGCACAATTGGACTTAACAGATATCTATAGAACATTTCATCCAAATACAAAACAATTCACATTCTTCTCAGCGCCACATACTTGGCAACATAGCAAACCTCAACAGGT